GTCTAAGAGAACTCTGGGACAACAACTAGTGCACTAACATTCATATTATAGGTGTTCCAGAAAGAGAAGAGAAAGACAAAGGGGCAGAGAATCTATTTGAAGAAATAATAGCAGAAAACTTTCCTAACCTAAGGAAGGAAACAGACATCCAAGTACAGGAAGCACAGAGAGCACCAAACAAGACAAACCCAAAGAAGCCCACACCAAGACACATTGTAATTAAAATGTCCAAAATTAAAGATAAAGAGAGAATTCTAAAAGCTTCAAGAGAAAGGCAACAAGTGGCATACAAAGGAAGCCCCATAAGTCTATCAGCTTACTTCTCAGCTTAAACATTGCAGGCTAGAAGGGAGTGGCATGATATATTTAAAGTGCTGAAAGGAAAAAACCTACAGCCAGGAATACCCTACCTGGCAAGGTTGTCACTCAGAATGGAAGGGGAGATAAAGAGTTTGCCAGAGAAGCAAATATTAAAGGAGTTTATCATCAAGAAATCAGTTTTACAGGAAATGCTAAAGGGACTTATTTAAGTGGAAAATTGAAGGCCACAAATAGGAATAAGAAAAGTATTTTTTTAAAAGGCAATAAAATCACTGGTAAAGGCAAAAATACATTAAATGTAGCAGATCAAACACCTATGAAGATAATATGGAGGTCAAAAGACAAAAGTATTAAAACTACCAATTTCAATGATAAGAACGTAATGGATACAAACATGCAAAATAAGAGGTTAGATATGATACTAAAAACATAAAATGTGGGAGGAGGGGAGCAAGAGTAGGACTTTTAGAAAGAGGTCAAACTAAAGAGACCATGACCTCAATATAGGTTGCTATATATGTAGATTATTATATACGAACCTCATGGTAATCACAAAGCAGAAACCTATACTAAATACAGAAGTAATTAAGAGAAAGGAACTTAATCACAATTCTTAAGAAAGCCATCAAACTATAAGGGAAGATAGCAAGAGAAGAACAAAGGAACAGAGAAGAACTACTAAAACACACAGAAAAAAAATAACAAAATGGCAAAAAGTACATATTTATCAATAGCTACATTAAATCTCAATGGACTTAATGCTCCAATCATATAGCATAGGGTGGCTGGTTGGATAAAAAAACAAGACCCATATATATGCTGCATACAAGAGACACACAGCAGACCTTAAGATGCTCACAAACTGAAAGTGAAGGGATGGAAAAAGATACTCCATACAAATGGCAAAGAAAATAAACCTTGGGTAGCAATACTTATGTCAGAAAAAATAGACTTTAAAACAAAAACTGTAGGAAGAGACAAAGAAGGGCACTACATAATGATAAAGGGAACACTACAACAAGAGGATATAACACTTGTAAATATCTATGCACCCAACATAGGAGCACCTAGATATATAAAGCAATTATTAACAGACATAAAAGGAGAAATAGACAGTAACACAATAATAGTAGGGGCTTTAACACTCCACTTACACCAATAGATAGATCATCCAAACAGAAAGTCAATAAAGAAAGGTTGGCCTTAAAGGACACATTAGACCAGAGGGACTTAGTAGATATATAGAGAACATTCCATTCAAAAACCACAGAATACACATTCTTTTCAAATGCACATGGAACATTCTCCAGAACTAATCATGTATTAGGTCACAGAACAAGTCTGAATAAATTTAAGAAGATTAAAATGATATTGAGCATCTTTTCTGACCACAAAGGTATGAAACTAGAAATCAACTACAGGAAGAAAATCAGAAAAACCACAAATAAGTGGAGATTAAACAAAATGCTACTGAACACTGATTGGGTCAATGAGGAAATCAAAGGAGAAATCAAAAATTACCTGGAGACAAATGAAAATGAAAATATGACATGCCAAAATCTATGGGATACAGCAAAAGCCATTCTAAGAGGGAAGTTTATAGCAATTCAAGCCTACCTCAATAAACAGGAAAAATCCAAAATAATCCAACAGTGCACCTAAAGGAAATGGACAAAGAACAAACAAAGGCCAAAATCAGCAGAAGGAATGAAATAATAAAAATTAGACCAGAAGTAAATGAAATGGAGACTGAAAAAACAATAGAAAAAATTGATGAAACCAAGAGCTGGTTCTTTGAAAAGATAAACCAAATTGACAAACCTTTAGATAGACTCAAAGGAAAAAAGAGAGAAGGCTCAAATAAATAAAATCAGAAATGAAAGAGAAGAAATTACAACAGACCCCACAGAAATACGAAAGATTATAAGAAAACACCTGAAAAGCTATATGCCAACAAATTGGATACTTTAGAAGAAATGGATAAGTTTTTAGAAACATAGAACCTTCGAAAATTGAATCAAGAAGGAATAGAGAATTTGAATAAGCCAATCACTAGTAAGGAGATAAAAACAGTAATCAAATCCTCCGAAAAATAAAAGTCCAGGACCAGACTGCTTACCTGGTGAATTCTACCAAATATTCAAAGAAGACTTAATACCTATCTTTCTCAAACTCTTCCAAAAATTGAAGAGGAGCGAAGCCTCCTAACTCATTCTATGAAGCCAACATTACCCTGATACCAAAACCAGACAAGGACATCATAAAAAAAGAAAATTTCAGGCCAATATCACTAAGGAACATCGATGCGAAAATCCTCAACAAAATACTAGCAAGTCAAATACAACAATACATTAAAAAGATCATACACCATGATCAAGTGGGATTTGTTCCAGGGATGCTGGAATGGTTCAACATCTGCAAATCAATCAACGTGATACACCACATCAACAAAATGAAGAATAAAAATCACATGATCATCTCAATAGATGCAGAGAGAGCATTGGGCATCCATTTATGATAAAAACTCTGAATAAAATGGGTATAGATGGAAAGTACCACAACATAATGAAGGCCATATATGACAAACCTACAGCCAATATCATTCTCAACGGAGAAAAACTGAAAGCTATCCCTCTAAGAACAGGAAGCAGACAAGGATGCCCTCCTACACCACTCTTATTTAACATAGTATTGGAAATCTTAGCCAGGGCAGTCAGGGAAGAAAAGGGAATAAAAACAATCCAAATTGGAAAGGAAGAATTGAAACTGTCACTATTTGCAGATGACATGATTTTATATATAGAAAATCCTAAAGAGTCCAGTAAAAAAACTTTTAGAAATGATAAATCAATACAGTCAATTTGCAGGATGCAAAATCAACATACAAGAATCAATTGATTTTATGCACTAACAACAAAGTAGCAGAAAGAGAAATTAAGAATACAATCCCATTTAAAATTGCACAAAAAGAATAAAATACTTAGGAATAAACTTAACCAAAGAGGTGAAACATCTGTACACTGAAAACTGTGAAACATTGTTGAAAGAAATTGAAGAAGACACAGAAAAATGGAAAGATAGTCCATGCTCTTGGATGGGAAGAATTAACAGTTAAAATGTCCATACTTCCTAAAGCAATCTACAGATTCAATGCAATCCCTATCAATGCTCCAATAACATTTTTCAGAGAAGTAGAACAAAGAATTCTAAAATTATATGGGACAACCAAAGACCCCGAATAGCCAAAGGAATCCTGAGAAAAGAGAACAGAGCTGAAGGTATCACACTCCCTGATTTCAAAATATACTACAAAACTATAGTAACCAAAATGGCATGCTACTGGCACAAAAATAGACACACAGATCAATGGAATAGAATCGAAAGCCCGGAAATAAACCCACACGTCTATGGACAGCTAATTTTTGACAAGAGCCAAGAACATCCAATGGAGAAAGGAAAGTTTCTTCAATAAATGGTGTTGGGAAAACTGGACAGCCACACGCAAAAGAATAAAAGTAGACCATTATCTTACACCATACACAAAAATTAATTCAAATTGGATTAAAGACTTGAATGTAAGACTTGAAACCATTAAGCTTCTAGGAGAAAAGACAGGCAGTGCAGTCTTCGACATTGATTTTAGCAGCATATTTTCAAGTACCATGTACGACCAGGCAAGGGAAACAATAGAAAAAATAAATAAATGGGACTAAATCAAACCAAAAATCTTCTGTACAGCAAAGGAAACCATCAACAAGATGAAAAGACAACCTAACAATTGGGAGAAGATACTTGCAAACCATATATCAGATAACGGGTTAATATCCAAAATATACAAAGTACTCATACATCTCAACAACAAGAAAACTAACAACCCATTTAAAAAACGGGGAAAAGATTTGAACAGAGATTTCTGCAAAGAAGATATACAGATGGCCAACAGGCACATGAAAACATGTTCAACATCATTAGCTGTCAGTGAAATGCAAATCAAAACTACAATGAGGTATCACCTCACTCCCATCAAAATGGTTATAATTAACAAGACAGGAAACAATAAGTGTTGGAGAGGATGCAGAGAGACGGGAACCCTCGTACACTGCTGGTGGGAGTGCAAGCTGGTGCAGCGACTATGGAAAACATTATGGAGTTTCCTCAGAAAATTAAGAATAGATCTACCATATGATCCAGCTATCCCACTGCTGGGTATTTATCCAAAGAACATGAAAACACAAATGCATAAAGATACATGCACCCCTATGTTCATTGCAGCACTATTCACAATAGCCAAGATTTGGAAGCAACCTAAGTGCCCATCAAGGGATGAATGGATAAAGAAGATGTGGTATTTATACACAATGGAATACTACTCAACCATAGGAAATGAGGAAATTGGCCATTTGTGACAACATGGATGGACATTGAGTGTATTATAAGTGAAATAAGTCAGAGGGAGAAAGCCAAATACCATATGATCTCACTCATAAGTAGAAGACAAAAACGAAAAACACATAGCAACAAAGATTGGATTGGTGGGTACCAGAGGGGAAGAGGGGAAGGAGGAGGGCAAAAGGGGTGCTTAGGCACATGTGTGTGGCAACGGATTGTAATTAGTCTTTGGGTGGTGAACATGATGTAATCTACACAGAAATTGAAACATATAATGATGTACACCTGAAATTTATATAATGTTATAGACCAATGTTATCTCAATAAAAAAATTTTAATAAAATAAAATAAATTACTAGTTTCCCATGTCACTGTAGCATGTTGCTTTCCCAACAGCTGTGTATGAGAGTTCCAGTCACTCCACATCCTCATGAAATGTTGATATTGTCAGTCTTTAAAAATTTTCAGTCCACTTAGATTGAAATAAATTATACAAAATTGGTTTTCCTCATCAATATCAACACCAATATTTTCTGTATTATGCCTATAAAAAAACACAAAACATTTCATCTTTGCAAGTTTTTTAGATTTTGCTTATAAATCAAAATAAGGGAATAGACATAGTCATTGAAAAAGCCAGAAGAAAGTATACGAATCATTTGTCAGTATCTTAGGCCTTTGTTGGACCTAAGATGTAGGTAGGCTCAATAAAAGAAAGTAAATAGTAACAACTGGATGTGAAATAACAATGGCAGGCTGTTCCATTCAAATTTAACTGTAGCTTGTTCCTTTACATTTGTTAAATAAAGACAAAATATACAGTGAAACTCTTGTCGGGTGATCTGGGTTTCTCTTACTGTTAATCTCCTTAACTGTCCATTACAAATTTTTAACAAAACTTAAAATATCTACTTGTCAATTGTCAATTTTTTTGTCAGTGTAATAGGTGTGTAGTATTACCTCATTGTGGTCTCAATTAGCATTTCCCTAAAGGCTAATAATGTTGAGCATCTCTTTATATGTTTATTTGTCATCTGTGTATGTTCTTAGGCGAAGTGTCTTTTCAAATATTTTGCTAATTGTTGGAGGTTGCTTGTTTTCTTACTGTTGATTTTTGAGACTTCTTTATATATTCTGCTTATAAGTTTGTTGTCAGGTACATGCTCTTTAAATAATTTTCCCATTTTTGGATTATTTTTCCATAGTGTTGGGAAAGTGGACATCCTTGCCTTGTTCTTAATCTTCTAGGGAAAGGATTCAGTCTTGCACCTGTAAATATCGTGCTTACTGTAGGATTTGTGCAGATGCTTTATATAATATTGGGAGAATTCCATTCTATTCTTAGTTTGGTGAGTAATTTTATAGTAAATTCTGTCAAAGGCTATTTCTGTATCAATAGATATGATAATGTGAATTTTTTCCTGCAGTCTGTTAATATGATGGATTACATTAATTGATTTTTTATTGAGTTAATGATAGGTTACAATCTTGTGAAATTTCAGTTGTACATTATTGTCTGTCAGTCGTGTTGTAGGTGCAACCCTTCACCCTTTGTGCCCACCCCCACCCCGCCTTTCCCCTGGTAGCCACTAATCTGTTCTCTTTGTCGACATGTTTAAATTCCTCATATGAGTGGAGTCATACAGAGATTGTCCTTCTCTATCTGGCTTATTTCACTTAACAAAATTCCCTCAAGGTCCATCCATGTTGTTGCAAATGGGAAGATTTTGTTCTTTTTTATGGCTGAGTGGTATTCCATTGTATATATATACCACATCTTCTTTATCCAATCATCTGTTTATGGGCACTTAGGTTGCTTCCACGTCTTGGCTATTGTAAATAACGCTGCAATGAACATTGGGGTGCATGGGATTTTTGGAATTGCTGACTTCAAGCTCTTTGGATAGATACCCAGTAGTGGGACAGCTGGATCGTATGGTAGTTCTATTTTTAACTTTTTGAGGAATCTCCATACTGTTTTCCATAGTGGCTGTACCAGTTTGCATTCCCACGAGCAGTGTATGAGGGTTTGTTTTTCTCCACAACCTCTCCAACATTTGTTACTATTTGTTTTGGTTATTTTTGTCATTCTAATGGGTGTAAGGTGATATCTTAGTGTAGTTTTGATTTGCATTTCCCTGATGATTAGTGATGATGAGCGTCTTTTCATGTGCCTATTGGCCATCCGTATATCTTCTTTGGAGAAATGTCTGTTCATGTCTCCTGCTCATTTTTTGATCAGGTGTTTAATTTTTTGTTGTTGAGTTGTGTGAGTTCTTTATATATTATGGATATTAACCCTTTGTCAGATGTATGACTTGAAAATATTTTTTCCCAGTTAGTGGGTTGTTTTTTCGTTTCAATCCTGTTTTCCCTTGCCTTGAAAAAGCTCTTTAGTCTGATGAAGTCCCATTTGTTTATTCTTTCTATTGTTTCCCTTGTCTGAGAAGACATGGTGTCTGAAAAGATCCTTTTAATACCGATGTCAAAGAGTGTACTGCCTACATTTTCTTCTAGAAGCCTTATGGTTTCAGGTCTCAGCTTTAGGTCTTTGATCAATTTTGAGTTTATTTTGGTGAACGGTGAGAAAGAATGGTCAATTTTCATTCTTTTACATGTGGCTTTCCAGTTTTCCCAGCACCATTTGTTGAAAAGACTTTCTTTTTTCCATTGTATGCCTTCAGCTCCTTTGTCGAAGATTAGCTGTCCATAGATGTGTGGTTTTATTTCTGGGATTTCCATTCTGTTCCATTGATCTGTGCACCTGTTTTTGTACCAGTACCATGCTGTTTTGATTACTATAGCTTTGTAGTATGTTTTGGAGTCAGGGATTGTGATGCCTCCAGCTGTGTTTTTTTTTTTTTCTCAGGATTGCTTTAGCAATTCGGGGTCTTTTGTTACCCCATATGAATTTTAGCATTCTTTGTTCTATTTCTGTAAAGAATGTCATTGGGATTCTGATTGGGATGGCATTGAATCTGTAGATTGCTTTAGGTGGAACGGACATATTAACTATGTTAATTCTTCCAATCCATGTGCATGGAATGTCTTTCCATCTCTTTATGTCGTCATCCATTTCTTTCAGAAAAGCCTTGTAATTTTCATTGTATAGGTCTTTCATTTCCTTAGTTAAATTCACCCCGAGGTATTTTATTCTTTTTGTTGCGATTGTGAATGGTATTGTGTTCTTGAGTTCTTTGTCTGTTAGTTTGTTATTAGAGTATAGAAATGCTACTGATTTATGGAAATTGATTTTATACCCTGCAACTTTGCTGTAGTTGTTGATTATTTCTAAAAGTTTTCCAATGGATTCTTTGGGTTTTTCTATATATAAGATCATATCATCTGCAAACAGCGATAGTTTCACTTCTTCCCTCCCTATTTGGATTCCTTTTATTCCTTTTTCTTGCCTAATTGCTCTGGCAAAAACCTCCAGTACTATGTTAAATAAGAGTGGTGATAGAGGGCATCCTTGTCTCGTTCCTGTTTTCAGGGGGGTGGCACTCGGTTTTTGCCCATTGAGTATGATGTTGGCTGTGGGCTTGTCATATAAGGCCTTTATTATGTTGAGGTAGTTCCCTTCTATGCCCATTTTGTTCAGAGTTTTTATCATAAATGGCTGTTGGATCTTGTCAAATGCTTTCTCTGCATCTATTGAGATGATCATGTGGTTTTTATTCCTCAGTTTGTTGATGTGGTGTATCATGTTGATTGATTTGCAGATGTTGAACCATCCCTGTGTCCCTGGTATGAATCCCACTTGATCATGATATATGATCCTTTTGATGTATTGACGAATTTGAGTTGCCAAAATTTTGTTGAGAATTTTTGCATCTATGTTGTTCAGCGATATTGGCCTGTAGTTCTCCTTTTTCGTGCTGTCTTTGTCAGGCTTTGGTATCAGTGTGATGTTGGCCTCGTAGAATGTGTTAGGAAGTGTTCCATCTTCCCTAATTTTTTGGAATAGCTTGAAAAGGATAGGTATTAAATCCTCTCTGAATGTTTGGTGGAATTCCCCAGGAAAGCCATCTGCTCCTGGGGTTTTATTCTTTGGGATGTTTTTGATTGCTGTTTCAATCTCTTTCCTTGTGATTGGTGTGTTCAAATTGTCTGCTTCTTCTTGAGTGAGCTTTGGGAGATTGTAGGAGTCCAAGAATTTATCCATTTCCTCTAGCATATGCATTTTGCTGGCATATAGTTTTTCGTAGTATTCTCTTATAATCCGTTGTATGCCTGCGGAGTCTGTTGTTATTTCTCCTCTTTCATTTCTGATTTTGTTTATTTGAGCTTTCTCCCTTTTTTTCTTTGTAAGTCTGGCTAGTCTGGTCTGTCAATTTTATTTATCTTCTCAAAGAACCAGCTCTTTGTTTCATTGATCCTTTCTACTGCCTTTTTTGTTTCAATGACATTTATTTCTGCTCTGATTTTCAATATTTCTCTCCTTCTGCTGACTTTGGGCTTCGTTCTTCTTTCTCTAATTCAGTTAGGTGTAATTTGAGGTTTCTTGTTTGGGATTTTTCTTATTTGTTAACGTGTGCTTGTATTGCAATGAATTTCCCTCTTAATACAGCTTTTGCTGTATCCCATATGAGTTGGTATGGCATGTTATCATTTTCATTTGTCTCCAGATATTTTTTGATTTCTTCTTTAATTTCTTCCATGAACACTGCTTGTTCAATAGCATATTGTTTAGTCTACACATCTTTGTCCCTTTCTCAGCTTTTTTCTTGTAGTTAATTTCTAGCTTTATAACACTATGATCAGAGAAGATGCTTTTTATTATTTCAATTTTTTTAAATTTATAGAGGCTTGCCTTGTTTCTCAACATATGGTCTATCCTTGAGAATGTTCCGTGTGCACTTGAGAAGAATGTGTATTCTGCTGTTTTTGGACGGGGTGTTCTATATATGTCTATTAAGTCCAACTGTTTTAGATTTTCATTTAATTCCACCATTTCCTTGTTGATTTTCTGTCTGGATGATCTGTCCAATGATGTGAGTGGGGTGTTGAGGTCCCCTACATTATTGTGTTATTTTTGATATCTTCTTTTAGGTTTGTTAATAGTTTCTTTATGAACTTTGGTGCTCCTGTGTTGGGTGCATAGATATTTATAAGCATTATTTCTTCTTGATGTAGTGTCCCTTTGATCATTATATACTGACCCTCTATGTCTCTCTTTACCTGCCTTATCTTGAAATCTACTTTGTCTGATATAAGTATTGTGACACCTGCTGTCTTTTGCTTGCCATTAGCTTGGAGTATCGTCTTCCACCCCTTTACTCTAAGCCTGTATTTGTCATTGGAGCTGAGGTGTGTTTCCTGGAGACAACAGATTGTTGGATCTCGTTCTTTAATCCATCTTGCCACTCTGTGTCTTTTTATTGGAGAGTTCAATCCGTTTGCATTGAGGGTGATTATTGATGCATGAGGGCTTAATTCTGTCATTCTGTCACTTGTTTTCCGGTTTTCCTACATTTCCTTTGTTTCTCATCCTGTGTGTTTCGGCTTACCCATTGACTTCTGCAGTTTCTTATTTCCTTACTTATCTTTTGTGTCTCTGTTCTGTTTTTAAGTTTAGTGGCTACCCTGAAATTTGTATTTAGAATCTTGTGTATAACATAGTCCATTTTCTGGTGGCCTCTTATTTCCTTAGCCTAAACTAATTCAGTCCCTTTCCTCCTTCCCTCCTAAGTTATTATTGTCATCTCTTATTCCAACTTGTGCTGTGAGTTTGTGGTTAAAGTGATAAGATTGTCTTTGTTTTTGGTGTTTTCCTTCCCTTTATCCTAATGCTATAGTTGTATATTTGCTATCCTATTCTAATTCTATTTGTCTCCTTACTCTGTGTTTTGTGACCCCTTTCTCCCTTTCTTCTTTTTTCAGGTATGAGGGCCTTCTTGAGGATTTCTTGTGTGTGTCTGGGGTGGGGGGCGGGGGGTGGTCTCCTGGCTACGAAGTCCCTTAGCTTTTGTTTGTCTGGGAAAGATTTAATTTCTCCCTCATATCTGAAGGATATTTTTGCTGGATAGAGTATTCTTGGCTGAAGATTTTTATCTTTTAAAGTTTTGAATGTCATTCCAATCTCTCCTAACTTGTTAGGTTTCTGCAGAGAAATCCACTGAAAGTCTCATAGGGGTTCCTTTGTAGGTTATTTTCTTCTGTCTTGCTGCCCTGAGTATTCTTTTTTTGTCATTCGCTTTTACCAGTTTTACTACTATATGCCTTGCAGTAGGTCTTTTTACATTGACATATCTAGGAGACCTGAAAGCTTCCTCCACACACATTTCTCTCTTTCTCTAGATTTGGGCAGTTCTCTGCTATTATTTCTTTGAGCATGCTTTCTGGTCCATTCTCCTTTTCGTCATTCTCGGGGATACCAATAATTCTTATATTGCATTTCCTCATTGAGTTGGCTATTTCTCAAGGATTTTCTTCATTCCTTTTTAGTCTTAGTTCTCTCTCTTCCTCTGTCTGGAGCCATTCAACCTGTCTATCTTTGATTATGCTGATTTGCTCCTCTATGGCTTCTACATGGGCATTCATGGAATCTGTATAATGTTTTATTTCTTCCATTGTATTTTTCAGCTCTAGTATTTCTGATTGATTCTTCTTTACAGTTTCAATCTCTTTTATGAAGTAACTCCAGAACTTGTTGACTTGTTTCTCTATATTTTTACCTCATTGAGTTTTTTGACAATAGCTATTCTGAACTCATTGTCATTTAGTTTACTTATTTCCGAGTCCTCAGGACATAATTCTGGGTGCTTGTCTTCCCTCTGGTCTGGAGCTTTTATGAACTGCCTGATGCTGGAACTACAGGTCTTGCCCATTGCAATACTGTTCGGTTGTAGTTACAGCCTGTCACCACTAGATGGGGTTCAAGAGCCACATATTCTGAGCCCTGCACCTTCAGCCAAGATGGCCAGCACAGCGTGGGTTGGGAAAAGAGGGGCACTTTCTCTTCCGGGCAGACCCGGTTTCCAATCAGCTCTCGCTATCTAGTCTCCTGGGGTCTTGGCTTGATGACGTCACCCCATGCAAAAGCTTTCACCCCGTTAAAGGGCTTCCGTCTGGGCTGCAAGGGCACTAGGGAGTCCTGGGTGATTCTGCTGACTCACAGCCCCTCCCCCAGTCCTTCCCTCACGGAGCCTCCTGTGGCAGTGATCCCAGTCTTTAGGAGAGGGAGCGAAGTTCTCTCTTACCCAGTTCCAGCTCCTCTGAGGGGGGGCTCCAGCCTCTCTGCCCTCTGTCATTTGGCTGCTGTAGATTCCTGTGCTATTAGGATATTTTTTGTTGGAATATTGTTGCTCCTTTTTGTTGTATGTTGGAGGGAAGAGAGTCTCAGGCAAGCTCACTCCACCATTATGCTGACTTCACTCCTCCAGCTCACCTTCATTTTTGAAGGATAGTCTTGTCATAATTTTTGGTTGATAGTTTTTTTCTGTCAGGTCTTTCAATATGTCATCCCACTGCCTTCTATCCTCCATTGTTTCTGATGAGAAATCAATTATTAATCTTGTTGAGGTTTCCTTGTAAATGATGCATCATTTTTCCCTTGCTGCTTTCGATGTTTTGAATATAGTGTGTCTAGTTGGGGATCTCTTTAAGTTTATCCAAGCTGGAGTTCTTTGAGCTTCTTGGATGTATAGATTTGTGTCTTTCATCAAATTTGGTAAGTTTTTGGCCATTGTTTCTGTAAATATTCTTTCTGCCCCTTTCTGTCCTCTCCTTCAGGGACTTTAATTAGGCATGTGTTGGTATGCTTAATGTCTTACATTAGCATTAGAGCCACATGTCTCCAGGGCTGCTTACTTTTCTTCATTCTTTTTTCTTTCTTTTCCTTAGGCTAGATAATCTCAATGTACCTGTCTTTGCTGATTCTTTCTTCTGCATACTCAAATCTGCTATGGAGCCTCTGTAGTGAATATTTCACTTGTTACTGTACCTTCCAAGTCCAAAATTTCTATTTATTCACTCTTTATAATTTCCATCTCTTTATTGATATGCTCAATTTGGTGAGACATTGTTCTCATTCTTTTCTTTAGTTTGTTAGATAATAGTTTCCTTTAGCTCTTTAAACACATTTAAAATATCTGACTTAAAGTCTCTGTCTAGAAATACTTCATTTGTGCTTCCTCAAGCATGGATTGTATTGATTTTTTTTCCTGTTTATGGGCCATATTTTTGCATATCTTATAGATTTTTCTTGAAAACTGGACAATTTTGAATATTATAATATGGCAACTATAGAAATCAGATTTTCTCCTGTCCCCAGGATTTGTTATTGTTGCTGCTTATTGTAGTAGTTGTTGATCATTTAGTGACTTTTTTATTGCTATAAGAAAAAGATCCTCAAATTTAGTTTTAATGGTAGCCTTTTTACATAAGCATTCTTAATAATGTTGGTTTTATTTTCTCACCAAATCACATGCAAGTGAATTTTTATTTTTTTAGATCATGGTCCTTAAGCATTTTTTTTGGCCTTATTATTGCGTTTTCCCTAGTTCCCCTCCACAGTATTTTGAATCTATTTGTGGTTTTCTTTTGTAGATATTAATATTCCTTTTTTTTTTTTTTTTTTGCTGAGGAAGATTCACCCTGAGCTAACATCTGTGCCAGTCTTCCTCTATTTTGTATGTGGGTTGCCGCCACAGCATGGCTGCTGGCAAGTGACATAGGTCCACGCCTGGGAACCAAACCCAGGTTGCCAAAGTGGAGCATGCCAAACTTAATGACTAGGTCAGGAGGCCAGCCCCTGCATTATTCTTTACTGTGGAATTCTGCACTTGCATTTCAATCTACTTGTATTTTTTTCAACCTTCTATGACATTTGGATGAATTTGTTAATATTCAATTTCCTTTTTATAGCATTAATAAAGATGCTACAGAAACTGAACCAAGCATGAAATCAGGTCCACAGCGCTCAACAGTGCAGGTGGCAGTCCAAAATGAAGAAGCTTGCTGGAATGTGGTTAAACTCTTCTTTGGGAACAACACAAAGCTGAGATGCGTAGAGAAAGAAAAAGAGATAAACAACACTCTGTATAGCAACATGAGTATGTTACTTCAGCTTCCACAATCTTGTCAGTAAGTTTACAAACCACAGTACATATATATATGGTAAGCTGTTACTTATAACAAGTCTGCTATTAATATCCAGAATTTGGAGTTGGAATGGAAAAACTATTAGAATTACCAACTTACTCAATTACCTAACTAAGCTATAATCTGCATACCACATTTAAATAAATGGAAATTTTCTGAAACGCCTTTTTAATTTACACCAAGCATGTTCTTTTTTCACACAAATTAAGTCTATTAGCCTACAGTTTGTTGACTTTTAAATAATAATATAAAGAACTACCAACAATATACTAGCAAATCTTTATAAGGGCATGAATGTGTGTGTGTGTGAGAGAGAGAAAGAGACAGAGAGTAGTTATATGCATAATTTCATAATTATTTAAATATTGCTTTGATTTTACAAAGTTCTTTTCATAGAGTTCTCATTAAACAAATATTTCAAATGACTATTTTATCCTCAAAGGGATAATTTTTTTCCAGTTTTATTGAGATATAATTGACATACAGTACCGTATAAGTTTAAGGTGTACAGCATAATTCTTTGACTTACAAATATTGTGAAATAATTACCACAATGTTTAGTTAGCATCCATCATCTCATACAGATACTAAAAAAAGAAGCAAAAGTTTTTTCTTGTGATGAGAACTCTTAGGATCTAGTCTCTTAACAACTTTCAAATATACCATATAGCAGTGTTAACTATAGTCATCATGTTGTACATTACATTCCCAGTACTTATTTATCTTATAACTGGAGGTTTGTACCTTTTGACCACCTTCATCCAATTTCTCTCTGTAAACCCCTTGTTTAGTGACTTTCAGAAATTACTTCTGTGCTCCTTGTTACTTGTGGCCTTTAAAGTCTCTGTCAGGTAATAACTGGGCAGAGATTTCCTTGAATATCTGAAGACAAAAAATATTCATCTTTGACAATGGGCTCTGTCTGTGTTGGGGCACATCTCCAACACTGAGCCAGGCAGTTTACAATTCTGCCTTTGTCTTCATTTTCTACCTCCATAGAGCCTCAAGGTCAGCAAGAGGAGAGAGACCTAGGGTCTACTCAGGTTTTTTTCTGAGTATGCACACAGTCCTGAGTAGGCATGTGGCTTTTTAGATTACCAAGTATTTGACAGAGCTTTTCAAAGCCTTTTTAGATATGTCATTCCCCAGCCTTTCCTCTCAAGCTGTTTTGTTAGTGTATTATATGCCCCAACTGTTACCTATTGCTTCAGGCAGCAGCAACCTAAGACATTATCTTATACATGTTTTCAACAAATGCCTCCTGGGAAACATCTTTATTACTAGCTCAGTTCTGAATTAGATGAAATAAAGATAAAAACTTTAATTAGTCTCCCAGGTAGCCACCAGACAGGTAAGAACAAATAATTAATTACATTTACTTATAAATGAAGTCTGTTCTGCCCCTCCAGTCCCAAGAATGTGGGCTCTTGTTTTCACTGCTAACGTTTAGCCAAGGATTGGAGAATGGGACTGAGGTAAATTAAATGGTACAAACGTTGCTGTTCTTATCAAGAATCAGCTATACTTTCTAGAATAAGCATTGCCTAGGTTGATTCAAGCCTTTGGTCAATTTCCAGAGTTCCAAAAAATGTTAATTTTGTCCATTTGTTCATTGATTTTATGGAGGGGCAAGATTTTGAATCCTTTTCTTTGTCATTGCTGATATCACTCCTATAATGGTTAAAAAATACATCTACAAATTCTCTAATATTCCATCCTTTAAGTGGTGGAGTCAAACTATCATCCCATGAATGTGGGTTGTATTTAGTGACTCAATTGTAATGAATAAAAGAAAGTGGAAGTGATGGTACATGACTCAGAAGGACTATGTCACAAAAATCATTGAGTGCTTCTTCCTTGCTCTCTCTCTTGAATTATTCACTCTGGGGAAAGCCAAGTGTTACACACTGAGGCCCAATAAAAGGAATGGAATATTCCTACCAAAAGCAACATGATTGAGTAATCTTATAAGTGAATCCTATAACCCAGTCAAACTTTCAGATGATTGCAGTCCCAGCGGACTCCATGCTTCCAATGTCCTAAGAGCTGCTGTGCCAGAACTATTAGCTAAGCTCCACCCAAATTCCTAACCCCTACCAACTGTCAGATAATTAATGTTTGTTGTTTTAAACCATTCTATTTTGGGGCAATTTGTTACATAACAGTAGGTAGCTCATAAACCTGCTTATAAAGAAAACAAAAATATTAAGATGTTAAGAGCAATCCTGAAGAATATACTAATCTTTTTGAATGCTAATCAAAAAAGATATTAGTAGAACAGGTCAAGGCCTATTCAAACGGCTTCTGATATAGTTCCTGACAGCTTATCTGTTACACCTCTGAAATGGTTTCTATAGAAAAGGAGATAACATTTATAAGCAGAGGGTCAATTTCTGTAGCGAGTTTGGGGATTTCTGAGCTGATTTAGAAAAAAATGTGACCACAAGGTGGCAGTAGCACACAAGAAACGTTATTTGGGTGGTACTCGAATAGATTTGTATAAAGGATGGGGTATGGGGGAGTTCTCACAGCAAGAGACCTTCCAGAGGTCTACCACTCAGAAGGGGAGGAGCGCATGGAAACTCCCAGGCAAGAAGGGAATAGAAGCGGGGCCTTATGTCTAGGTGATATCACTTGGCAGCAAGATGGGGACTCTGAGTCAGAGAGCTCTAAAGGGCAGCAGAGGCTTGGGGTCATTTATAGCACCAGGGTCTACCTTATCTATGGCCAGCAGATTTACAAGTTCAGTTTACAAGTATAAAAGTCAGGCAAACCCTAAAAAGCTAAAAATATTTTATAAAGGCTACATTTAAAGCAATTGCGCAAAATGTGTAAATTTGTAAAAATTTTCAAAACGTGTAAAAATTTGAGTTTGGCACTGGTGAGCTTTTAAGCTAATTGTTATGGCCTGCTGTAAAGAAGGAAAAGAATGTAGGGCCAATATACAGGGGCCATCTTTGGCTCATTCATATAACAACTTCCCGTGCCACTTATTATGAAGACAATCTTCAATGATATAGGGGTCTTTGCAGGTGTGTTTAATATACAGAAAACATCATTCAAGACAAAATAGCCTCTTCCCATTTTATGTCATGGAAATTCTTCACTGGGGTCTCTATAGGGTGAATCAGGATTAAATTCTTACCTTGCAAAAAGAAGTTTTTGAAAGATAGGTTATTTGCAGAGAACCAACTAAGATTCACACTAAACCTCGTATTTGTTTTTTATTCCTGCTTAAAAATTACCATGAACTTAGTTTTAAACAGCACATATTTATTATATCATGTTTTCCGTAGGCCAAGGATCTGGGACAGCTTAATTGCATGCTCTGCTTAGGGTCTCACGAGACTGTAATGGAAATGTTGGCTGGGCTGCATTTTCGTCGGAGGAATAACTGAGGAAGAATATACTTCCAAGTTCTTTCAGGTTGTTGGCAGAATTCATGCTCTTGTGGCTATATAACCAAAGTTCCAGGCTTTTTGCTGGCTGCCAGCAGGAGACTGTCCTCAGGTCCTAAATGATTCAGGAATAGTTCCTGTTCCCACGTGCTTCTCCAACATAACTGCTTACATTGTCAAACCAGCAATGACAGTCCTCCAGTCTGATAAGACAGATTCTTACTTATGTAATCATAGAAGCTATTTTTGCCATATAACATAACCTAAGTAAGGGAGTGACATTCTATCACTTTTGCCATTGTTTAGAATTTGCTTTTGGTTAGAAGTCACGGGTATTGCGTGCATACAAGGGCAAAGGAATAAGCAAAGGTGTGACTGCTGGTAAATAACAAATCATTATGGGTTAACTGATGGTTTGTCTGCTACAAACCTATTTTAAAAAATGACAGGACCAAAGAGGTGTTGTTACTTAGAAGTGATGTTTCCCAGACTTAATAAGAAGATACCCAACTACTATGAATTCTATATGTATATAAAATAGTTTATTTTTATTTGCTTTCCAATGTTTTTATTAATGCCTGCAATTTACTTTTCAATAATTAGCATATTTAATATTATTGCAGTAAAAAACACTACAAAACATTAACTTTAGTTCTATTAGTCTACAAAAAATCTTGATGATAGACACTTGTGAATACATTGGAAAATACATTATTTTATTTTTGGAACAAATTATCACGAATATAGCCCAATTTAGGAACCAATGATAAATGGTTATAATGATTCTCAAATAAATTTACTAGAGCAAGGTATAATTGCTCCACTGGTAGATTTTTCTCATTATAATTGCTCTAATCTTTTAAGGTTAACATTTGAAGATATTATGAAATAAAAATGAAAATTTTAAATCTAATGCTTGAAAGTCAGTCTTCCAAAATTAACTTGAGCATTCTAAGTTCTGAGATTTAAATTTGAGAGTGCTGTTTCTTACTACTTCACTTTACACATTCACATAAAGTAGTTGTATTAGTCAGGGTTTTCCAGAGAAACAGAACCAATAGGATATATCTACAAATATATGAGATTTATTATAGGAATTGGCTCATGTCATAATGGAGGCTGAGAAGTCCCATGATCTGCTGTCTCCAAGCTGGAGAACCAGGAAAGCTGGTGGTATAACTCAGTCCGAGTATGAAGTCCTGGGAACCAGGGAGCCAGTGGTGTATCTCCTGGTCCCAGGTAGAAAGCCTAGGGGAGGGGAGAGGTGCTGGTCCAAGTCTTCGAGTCTGACGGCCTTCAGAACCAGGAGCTCTGATGTCTGAGGGCAGGAGAGAGAATTCAACCTTCCTCTGTCATTTTGTTCTATTCAGGCACTCAATGGATTGGAGGATGCCCATCCATATTGGTGAAGGTGGATAGTCTTTACTCAGTCTAGTGATTCAAATACTAATCTCTTCTGGATACACACTCACAGACACATCCAGAAATGATGTTTCACCAGTTATCTGGTCATCACTTAGTGCAGCCAAGTTGACACATGTTGTGACTTTTTAGATTAACATTTGTTAAGTAGAGCCTCATGATGTCAGATGGTGAGCCACGGTTCAACAAAAGACTGCAAGGGAAAGTGAAATAGAAAAGTTTATTACTCACAGATCCTGGAGGAAGTACATGGCATGCTTGGAGGAGCCACATGGGGAGGTCAAGGCAGGGTGCAGGCAGAGAGAGGAGGGCAGGACCTAGGACACATGCCTTTATTAGGGTCTGTGGGTGGAGTGCTTTTGGGTTCCCACGCTAAGGCCACATTGGTCAATTCAAACCAAAGAGTGAGGTTTTGTTAAGCTTCTTGGGGGTCTTATACAAGGGATGCACAAGGGGAAGGCTCTGGGAGGGGAGGGAGAATGCTTATCACAAGGGTAGCTGGGGGAGTCATGTCAGGAACTTACATTTACCTGTGATTCTGTGGGTTGTTACCTAGAGCATGCATTCTTGGGGGGGGGGTTGGTTATTGTCAGTTGAAGGCCCCTGCAGTCTACTTCGCCACACGAAAGGGACACTGAAGCAACAACATTATGGAGTAGTTTAGCTAAACTTTCAACAATCCATCCTGTGATGTTTCAGCATCAGGAATAGCAATCACTTGTGTAGCAGATATGTTAAAGGACATAGGTATTGTTTTCTGAAGCTATTGTAAAGCACATTTATCCAAAACAATAACAATGAAGCCTATGATGAATATGCTACTGTTTGAAATCCCATTCTCAGCCATTGCCCCCCACGTGGATGACAAGAGCCATGATAACAAATCAGGGACCTCAGGGAGTATGGAAATTTGTTGAAATATTTTATATTATGCATGATCTGCATACTTTGAGATATCTTCTGGAGGTTGGCCTGTACTGGTCCTGAGTTGTTAATGTACATGCAGAAAGAGGTGCCCTGTAAAGAACAGAATGCACCCCATTCAGTCAGTAGGAAATCTAATGCCAGTTGATTATCCATCACCATTTGTGCTAGTGAGTCATGCTGTTCCTGCATCAAACTCAAGCTAGTGTCTGCATGTGGTTGGTGATGGTGGTTAATAATTGCTGAGTGGCTTTTTAATAATTGATCTTGTTGGGCTAGGGTGGTTGCACTTATTCTTAAGCCTGCCAGTGCACTAGGGATGGCCAATCTCAACAAGACAGGGATAAAAATGGTCCTTTTGGTACGTGAGTGGGGTGTCTCTAGTGGAGAAGTGCTGGGAGAGTAAACGGTGGCTAGAATATTAAAAGTAACAATGTTGCAATAATAGGGGTCATCTCCACGGATAGCTTGTTGGTGGAGCAGGGTCAAGCGGACTTGCTCCTGGCCCCTTGAGTCAGGTCCACAATAGAATCTGAATGAGGCACTATTTACCATTAGGGGGCAGTGAGTATACAAGTTTAAGTCCAACTTTTGTGTTTGAGTATAGTTGGTAGCCTTTAGAAAGTACCACCATGGTTTAATCCTTCTGATGCTTACTTACAAGGTGCTCATGCCCAAACATGGGGTCTAGATTAGGGGTTTGGTTTAGCTTAAATGAGACTCACTGTGTTTGGGAGGGAATTAGCACAAGGGGCTGATCACTAGGAAGAGCTGTGGGATAGATAGTGACATGGGGATGTAGGCCTGGCCCTATATGGTAACAGATCCAACATTGGTTTTACTTTCAAGGCCTGGTCTGCTATCTTGGAGGTTTATCTGAATACATTTGTCGTGTGGGATCTAGTCCACTTAGTTTTGGTGTGGGGTAAGGTCATGGCTTACAACAGGGAGGGACTTTTGGATAAGACGTGAGAAGAAGAGATCATGATTTTGAGTATGGAGGAGTTGTCAGCAGTGGTAGTGGGAATAATGAGAGAAATAAGTCTGTTGTGGATGTATCAGATGGAAAGCAAAAGCTATAATCTAGTACAGTGAGCAGCGAACACAGCAGCAAGAGGTCCCTAACCGTGGGATCTAAGCAAGTTAAGCTAGTGGTGTTGAGAGGAACTGCCATATTGTGGTTAGTGTGGTTTAGAGTACATCGTGTGGCTTGCCATAAGGGTGAAAAGTGAAATACTGTTGTCAGGCAGTTGGCAGGGAACTTACAGTTTTGCAAGAGTTTTGATAGAAGCAAAGTTCACAAGGCAAGCTGTTAGCCATTTCAGAAAAATAGTATTCAATAGGGTCCTCAAGGTCAATCAGTTGGAGGCATTCTTGCAACTCAGCCCCCAGGTTGACAGTTACCACCATCATTTCTCTCTTGGTGCAAGAGGGGTTCGGGTGTAAATCCCAATTTCCAGCAAAGTCGGGGGTGTGTTGTCTCCCTCATCATTCTCTTGGGCTGGGGTGAAATCATCTGAGGTGTTGGTGTACTTGAGGATGGCTATGACCAGCCCAGGGATAAGGTGGCCTTCCCAGATGGAGACCCACAAAGGGTAGGAGTGGCTGGCTGCTGTTAAATTCTGAGTTTATATGCTAGAGGCCTGGCTCAGGATGAAATTACAGCTATGGGATCTACTGCTAGCTGAGCAGATTCCAGTGAGCTTCATCAGATCATCAGGGGCGCACCTTGCAAAGGAGCACAATGTCCAAGACAAAGCTTTGTGGGAACTCCATTCATAATAATAACTCTGTGCATACTGATGGGCTAATTGTAGGGACATTTTGTGGATGGCAGCTTTACAATCTGGAGATCATCCCATTAAGACTATAGTGGAATCATTAGGGCACAAACCTACCAGACAGATAGGTCTGATTTGGTTACATCGAGAAGGCCATTCTGCCTGGGATATAATTTGAGGCATAGTATAAGGAGAGATGAGCTCATTTAAGTATCACTTCCCCTGGCATCATTTAACAGAAAGGGAGATACGATCTGGGTCAGAATCCACGCCCAGTGGCACGTTGGCCAAAGCCCTTCTTACAGGGCCTGCCGGCACTTGGTGCTCAGCCAACCTGCGGTGCAGGTGTGTACCTAATTTTGGTTCAGCACATCTCTTGGGACAGGATTAGGCCTGAGATGTCTACTAACAACCCTATTATTCGGCTTGTACACAATAAGAGCAAAACCCTCAACAAAGCACTTGAATTTGACTAGCTTATGGAGGCCTCCTTCAGGGCTTGCAATCTAGATACAGACCAAAGGTAGAGTGTGGTTGCTTTGGAGCAATAGGTTGCTTATCTCTTCATTTAAGATGGGGTAGGAACATGGCCTGTGTCTGCTGATAGCAACTGTTGGACTTCAGGGTTCCTTTGTCGATTTCATTTCCTAATGTGGCTGGCATCCACTAGGTGGAGGGCTTCTTTTCCTCTATCTGAGATGCACACAGTTACAATAGTGGGCACTGGAACTATAATTTCAATCTCCAGTAAAATTTTTGATGCATTTGGTTTAATTATCCAGCCTTTATAACCTGAATAGTGCGGCAAAGTTGGTGGCCTTAGCTTTGCAGCTGGAACTGGGCCATCATCTGAACCAATAAAAGTCTGTATAATCATGATTTCTAAGCAATTTGGTAGGGGTTTGTCCCCTTGAGATCTCTCTATTATAAAAGGGTCATGTTGCACAATCTACCCTCAATCAGGTCGCCAGCATGTGGAAGGCAGCAACACAATAAAAAACATCAAAATGGTAATGGGAGCATTTATCTGGTGAGCAGATGTGAATGAGGTCCTTTTAAATATCAAAGGAGTGGGAGATCCCTGTAATGGCTAGCAGGGAAGTCTCTGGAGAAGACTTGTAGCTAGTGTGGGGGTTGAGAGATCTGAGGGCTCGGAATTAAGCAGTATTAGAGCTTGAGGTAACATTTCTGTCCATTTAGGTGACCATTTATTGTTTAAAAGTTTGAGGAGCATGTCTTCAAGTAGGCCATTGTGCCTCTCCATAAGTCCAGCCACTTGGGGCTGGTAAGCGAGGTGGAAATTCTACAAGATTCCATGTTCTAGAGTCCATGACTGAACAGCTTGGGAGGTGAAATGGCTACCATGTCTGAATCTATAATGTCTCCTGGGCCAAAGAGAATGAGCACATACCTGGTTAAAAGGAAATTATATTATGGGAAGCAGTGTTTCTGGAGGGAGCTGCCAGCAGAGTGCAGTAAAAGTATTGATGATGGCAGTTGCATATCTACTATCTCCAGCAGAGGGCGGCAGTGGACTGATAAAATAAATTTGCCATCTTTAATAGATTCTGTCGCCCTGGGGCACATGTCCCCAGCTGGGAGCCTTACAGACTTTTGTTTGGGAGCAAACGGGGCAATTATCTACCACCAGTTTGGCTAGAGCCAGCGTGAGGGGGAGGCCATGCCTGTATGTCGAATCAGTGAGTGCTGTCACTCCCTTCTGGCCTGATGCAATCTGTGCCCACTCTGCTAGTGGGTATGGCATCTCTGAAGAAATAGTTGTTTCTGGGGCTGTGTCTGCTACTCTGGGAGATGGCTAACATGGGGCCTTGAAATAGGCATGTAATTTGATAAGAAGTCTGCACTCTTATTACAATGTGCTTTTGGTGTTTGTTGGTGTGCATATGCAGAGACAAGTGACCATAATCAGCATGTGTGAGTTGGCTATCTCTTTCCAAATGGAGGCGTCCCAGAAAGGCTTTCCCTGAAACACAAAACTATCTTTTTTCCATTGTCCAGAACAGACTGTGAGCCCATTGGATACAGCCCAGGAGTCAGTAAAAATGTATGCCCTTGGGAGTCTCATTTTTGTGGCCTGTTGTAGGGCAAGGTGTATGGCCACCAATCTTTCCAATGGGGCTGAGCCAGGACAGCACTCCTTGACTAGGGATATGCCACTAGAGAAATAATACTGCGGCCTTCCAGCTGGCTGCACTGTGTACAATGGTGGCACTGCTGTCAGAAAACACTGATTCCCTTTTCTTGTCAGACAGTTGGTCCCAAGAGGCTCCCTCAACTGCTAGAGGGGCCAACAGTGGGGATGCCACTAGCTGCAGGTCCATGTCAGTGCACAAGGGGCTGAGTATGGGGGAAGCCACATCCTCCAATAACCTGAAAAGGCCCTTGACATTCGGTTTAGCCTTTTCCTGATGGTGTCATTTCCATTTTAACAGTGAGGCCTCAGTGGCTGTGCTGAACCTCTGCTGGG